CTCGTTACCTTGATGCGTAAAAAAGTTAGTATTAACGAGAACCTAAAACCACTCATGCAAGCTAATGAATAGAACTCCAGTTCCGCAGGAAAAAAAACACTGACACAGTAAAATGTGCATTACTGTTCAACTGCAAACACTTCAGTCAATATAAACCAATATTGAATAGGCCTAAACCTAATAATATCGGTGTACAGACGACAAATGACAATATTAGACAGGCTAATGAAGCTTGGTAAATGCGCGTTTCTGCAGACAGGTGATGATCTTCGTGCTCTTCCTGCTTGTCTCTTCCTCCTCTTCTTCCTACAAGGGCAAGTTCAAAAGCCAAAACACAACCGTTTTTGTGCAGCGTGGCACTACTTGTATTGCAGGGCAAAACCCTCAATCATCTTTTTGATTTATGGACTCATAAAGAAATGCACCTCCCTATACGGGACAGTTCATTACAGTGCGGGAGGCCGTGGCTGTCCAACCTTCTATGATTTTTATGGTTAACAAAAATAGTTTAATAGTTTATCCACTCGGATCTGGTATCAGGCTCAGATTAATTGAATTATATAATTATAACTGAATTATTTATAGCCTTATATTTAAAATTATTGAAGGAATTATATATTTCATGGCCTACAACTACATGTGTAAACATAATAATAAATAATTTCACTATAAATATTAAATAATTGTATTTATATGCATGTTTCAATAATAAATTCTGTATAATTTCGTAACTTGCAACAGCTATAGGACAAACTTTTTCTTTTCTTTTTTGCAGCAGGCTGTCACATCGTAAATTTGTAATTTAACGCTGTATTTAAAGTTATTTTTATAACAAACGACCTCTGTGCTGGTTTTGTAAACAGTACACAACCATCATTAAATAATGTACGACATAAGCTGAGCCGATCTTTAGAGAGTGATTTAAACTATTGGAAAACAGGGCTTAGTGCAAATGCTGGCGCCATGTTGTTCATCCTGCATAAATTAAGTTATTGGGATCAATTATGAATGATTGCAGAAAGCTTACTGTTGTTACAACTATCGATGCATTTCAGTCTTAACTTTTATAACAACTGTTCAGAAAAGTTAGCATAGCTATTTGTGATTATTTTCACTTGTCATCTACTAGAATATTTATCAGCAACTAAAATATGATTGTTAGCATTGCAGCACAGAACACTTAAGTAGTTTGTCTGAAGATACTTTTTCATCAAATACTTTAATTATTAATATTATAACCTAAAAGATAAAATTATACATGTCTCTCTACAACTTAGCATCGAATAGCCAACGCTCGTCAAAGTTTTGATCTAGTTAATTTAATTAGTTTATCTAATGGTTAACTGAAAGGTTTAATTTAAGTATTAATAATATTTACGACTGAATCAACCCGACTGAATTCAGTTGCACCAATAATAGTTAGTAGGGTCTGTAATTTTAAGGGTCAGATAAAAAGGTGCAACTTTACGTTTCTATTTTTACAGTATACTAGCCGATAGCTAATTTATATTTACTCTATAGTTGTAGAGTTAGTATGAAAGTTATTGGTTGGCAATGGCAAGAAGTCACGTGTGATGATTTCCTACATTAGGCTACGTGTCTCCTGAACAATACAGTTTGTTTGTTCATAGTTTAGTACAACATATGTCAGACGTGACATTTGTTCTCCTTTTCTTTCAGCATTTTAGTAACAGAAAAAAACTGCTTTACATCTTCCGTTTAATGTCAGACATCCAAGCAGCAAAGTCAGTCTGTCAGGAGTAGCGAGTAGCCTATAGCGCTCCCCTCTGAGAAAAGGCTGTTTGTCTCATGATGAAACAGGTTTGTTTTGTATTTTAAAAGTTGTCATCAGTTTGGATGTCACAAAACCTGAAATTAAGTTAACAGTCAATAAAAAAGCTATGTAAAGCACCCCCCCCCCCAATTTAGGTAAACGGTAAACATTACTAACCAGCACAATGCTATCTGAGTGATTAAAAGGTGGCTAATTCGTACGAATTCGTACGATTTGTCTAAACCCATGTGATGAGTACACTCTAAAAAATGCTGGGTTGTTTTAACCCAACTTTGGGTCAAATATGGACTAACCCAGCCGTTGGGTTAAATTTTTACATTACATTTTTAACCCAACATTTCGGGTTTGTCCATATTTGACCCAAAATTGGGTTAAAACAACCCAGCATTTTTTAGAGTGTAGGTTTAGGGGCGGGGTCAGGGGTAGGTCATTCGTACGCATTTATACGATTTGGGCAACTCGAAAAAACTTTACGATTCAACAAAAATCGTACGAATTCGTACGAGTGAGGTGGTATGAATTCGCTCACTACACTAACAGTTCGAAAAAGAAAAAGTTACAAGGTCGCTCGCTAGAGAAGCCTTGTCCCAGAGTTCACCGATCTCGTAGGTCATATGGTGCAAAGCAACAAAGGAGAAACACATTCAGATGTCCCTCTTCTATCACCACATCAACATAACCAAAATCCACAATGAAAGCATGAGCACCGGTGGAACCCCAGGAAGCCTGTGAGGGTGCACACAGAAGGTACACGTTGAGAGAGCCAGTGGGGTCAAGGGGTGGGAGAGGTCGGCCGACCCGGCTGAAATGAAACTAATGGGACAGAAAATGTGTCCCCAAATTGAACTCGACTTTTCTTAGTTGCCAACAACTTCAGTAAAGTATCTTTTCAGCCTCGCGACATGGAGGCGACCGCATCTCGAAAGAGGCTGTCAGGATGCTACAATTTAGGCGTGCACATTCATTTCTCTCATAGGCTAATGGTCTCTGAATGCAGTTCTGCACTACTCTTTTCAAGTGACATCCAAAGTCACGGCCAGGCTGGGACGATGGCCGGTGGCTTTTTCCCATTTAGGTTTGGATAAAGTATCCGCTGGCTTAAACATATTTTGCAGTGACGCTATTGTGCTCTATAGTGCCTGTACAACTTAATACATTAGAACTTAGAAGTACAATTGACTATTGCTGCCGGACTTGATTGATGGTCTAAAATGGCTCAGCTCTTTGTGCTTCTCAGCCCCCCACTTAGCGAGCCGTTGTGTAATCTTCATTCAAGTCATGCCGATTTTACAATTAATCAAGCACATTCCTTATTTTCTGTACGTTTTTTTAGAGTTTATTTCATTAGACACGCTAAGTGTTTCATGTTTAAAATTTAATATATTCTTGTGGATTTGAAAAATACTAAAACGTCATAATAGAATTAAAACCAATTTGCACGCGGGAGCGTTCTATGCCGCATTGTAAATGGCAAGGCCACAGCGTGCAGATTTTGGTCCTGTGTGCGATGACGTTGCTTCGAACAGGATATAGCGCCACTTTTTAAAAATAACAAAGTGGCACACAAAGAGGAGTGGCTTGAATAAGAACTTTCAAAAACAGAGGTACTGGGGTTATATTTCACCACATGCAAATAGCTTCATTTAGGCCTACCTTTAAAATAATAATAATAATAATAATAATAATAATAATAATAATAATAATAATAATAATAATATGGACATAACTGACCGATTTCACAGCCTTTGTCTCTTTACGTTTGCCTTTTTACACATTTATCCCATAACACGTATTTTTGCAATGTGGTAAAGCTGATTCGTTTCATTCTCTATTGCATCTGAATATATCAAGATTAAGTAGCATTCATTTTAAATATTAGCGAATTTCAAATGAGATTTTATTTAAACTCCGCTAAACATAAAAATATATCAACCCATGTTCGACCTATTTTCACGTTCTGAATAATATATCATCCATCTTTTTACTGTTAGTTTACCTAAAATAAAACGAATTGGTTGAATTTGTTTGTCAGCTTGAAAACGCTTGAAATTATTATCGGAAAGAAACATAAGCAGTGCTGGACTTTTTGAATACCGGAATTGATTTTCAGAGACATTACATCCATGTTGAAAACGGTAATGAATCTTCTGAAATGAGGAGCGATAAGGTCCCTTCTGAAAAGGCCCGAGTAATGTGCCTCGTTAATCGAAGAGGTGAGAAAGTGATGTGTACAGAACCTAAACTAACCCCTACACAACTCTTACCCCTCAAATATGAGAGATAGAGTTGTAGATATTAGAAAAGGTATGGCAGAAATAAAATGGCCAATTAATTTCTTGCAATAAAGAATGTTGGAAACCCAATCGACACCATGGTGTATTTTTAAATGCAACGAAAACACGATTTTCACTTTGGGCCTATTTGACTTACATGGAAGTTTGCATCCCCAGTTAAAAAAATGTGAATAAATCTTTTCGCTATTTATACGCGGAAATGTAATCTACATTGCATATTAATAAAAGTCAGCCACGCAAGTCTAGGTAAAACTAATAGACACTTACGTTTTATTGACCAATATAATTAGCACAAATACACTAAACTGGTTTTATTGCATCTCACAACAATCTGCTGTAAATAGCCTAAACACAACGCCATCACAACAAAACTAAATGATAATTTAAAATCTTAACCTTTCCATACGACAGATAACCCACAGCATGATTTACTTTAAAAGAAAACAAAGACGTTTAAGATATTTTTTTCTATCGATACCCACGATAGTGTTTTTCCTTTACAGTACAAAAAAACGTACCAGCTCTCTCAAGTGAGAAATAAATAGATTCGTTGTGCACTTCACCTTGGCAGCTGGGCAAAAGAAAGGCCCACAAATAACATTTGAATAAAATGTCCATAACCTGCTCCGCCCAAAACATTCCTCTTAAAAATAAAGAAAATAAAATAAAAAAACAAACAAACATCATATTGATTCAGTTTTTCGATAAATTAAACCCTGTTTCTCGTAAAAAATAATCCATAGGTATTCGCAATAATCCATGCTATATAACATGCATTTTATATAACTGTGGACTTAAAGGAACCCCTTTACGCACAAGATACCTACGAAAACAAAATATATTATATTTTATAAATAATCAGTCATTTGATCTTCCCTTCTCTCCTCTCCTCGAAATAGTTCTCTTATAACCTTGTAATATCCTCGGCACGCTCGGGTCCGGAGAGGTCCTCGGAGGCTGATATGGTGTTAGTGGTGGAAGCTGCCGCCGCGGAGCTTGTGTTGGACCCGGAGGAAATGCCCGTGGAGGACGAGGATCTGACTTTGGTGTTTGGCAGCCTATGGTCTTTTTTCCACTTCATCCTGCGGTTCTGAAACCAAATTTTGATTTGCCTCTCCGAGAGGACCAAGGAATGAGCAATCTCGATACGTCTTCGCCGTGTTAAGTACCGATTATAGTGGAATTCCTTCTCCAATTCTAAGACTTGCTGGCGAGTGTAAGCAGTTCTAGACCGCTTGGGTTCCGCTCCATTGTAATTAGGGTTCACTGGAAAGAGGAGAAGCAAAGGGAAAGAAAGAATAGAATAGAAAAAGAGTAGAAAAGAAAAGAGGCAGCGAGGGAAGGATAGGGTAAACAAGCGTGTCTTTCATTGAGAAATGGTGGCGACAGAGGAAATGAGGGTGGGATGGATAAAACATCTTAAAGTTAGCTTTCTATAATAAGGCTAAAATCACATTGGACTCAGCACTGAATTATTAATGCAACATTATAAAGCTTAGTTTTTCCTCTGGTCCCAGATCTCCCTCACTCTCTCGCACACTCATAACAAGAGAAGCCACATGGTGATACGACTGCCCAGAGTATACCTCGGCTATAAAATTTATGGTGGGTGTAATTACCAATGCCTAGTCGTAAATCCGCCTCAATTGTGCCATTTCAAAGGCTTCTATCCTATCGTAGCAGAGGCTGGCCAGGGGATGAGTGTAAAAAGGAGTGAGGCAGACGGAGAGAGAGAGTTAGGATGAGGGGCGAGCTTTATAGTGCTTAAGAGAAATACACTCAAGTTGCCTACCGGTGCTGACGTGAATTTTCTTCATCCATGGGTACACAACGGGTTGTTTGGCAGAGGCTGAGCTGTTGGGATGCTCCGGGGTGGCTTGATTGCAGGCGGAGGATGCAGCCGGAGGGGTGGCAGGAGACAGGGGTAACGGTGGGGGCTCACATGAGGCAGGTTGCCCTTTTCCGAGCAGGTGCCCCGCGTGAGGAAGTCCATGTCCTCTTTGAGTATCAGGCTCAGGGATGCTTGGACAGTTAAACTGACGGTCCTGGTAGCTTGCCCGCGGAGGGTATAACTCCTGGTGGTGATGCTGGTAGCCACTCTCCCTTGCACGGCTGTAATATTCGGGGCTATGTTCGGGAATGTAGCTATTTTGCGAATATTCCTCGCAAGGAGGAAATTTCGGATCGATGTAGTTAGAGTCCATCAAATACGAGCTCATGATCATTAATTTCTGGAGTGGAAAATAATTTTTCTAGCTTTGTCGTTTTTCTGCTCCATAAAGCCCTCCTACTAGCGAGCAACCCTGTAAAGTTACTTTTACCACGTGATGCGATGGCCCAATGGCATGGGGCGATGTAGTCCCCGGATAAGGAACCACAGCTTTTGCAAATATACCTTCAATTTTCCGCCATTGTCCGCGAAGTCTCTCAGTCTCTCTATCCCTCTCTCTATCTTTCTCTCTCTCTCTCTCTCTGTGTGTCTCTCTCTCTCTCTCTCTCTCTCTCTCTCTCTCTCTCTCTCTCTCTCTCTCTCTCTCTCTCTCCCTCCTTTCTCTCTCTCACATACAGACGCATACACAATGGCCAAATCTTCTCGGATCATGTCATAGCAGGGATGTTTCTCAGTTAACTTGTGCATGTGCCGTTACCTATGAGTTTCACTAATTACTAATAGTTAGTATACTAATAACTAATTAGTAATATTAATAATTTTATGCTATTAGTAAAACAAACAAAAAACAAAAAAACAATTGCATTTAATATGCAAACAATTACACAACATTATACAATGCTTTTTAACCACGGATTTTATGACTTGCTGATTTTATGATTTTATGACTTGAACATGCAGGAAAATATCTAGTAGTAGCCTATAAACATATTTTCACTTACCTATCTCTTGAGAGCATTTATGCCAGTATACAAATGAAGATCCCTGTCATCTTCGTTATATAAAATTAATAGGCCTATGCGTTATAAATTCTATGTTTAGAGTTTATTTAGCCTATGATTCGACGAACACAGGGAGAATTTGTGTGGTGGCACAAAGCAGATTCTGTGTTTAATTAAGATATAAAGGCTTTAAATCAATCGTTTACATTGGATACAGCATATTTCCGTTTCTACAATTTTGGCTCAGTATGTTCATGTCTTCCTGTGGTAGGCCTAGTTTTATACTAATTTTTTCAAACTCCTTATGGTAGTAACTAAGCACACACGACTTTCATGCAAAGTCACGTGCCTCAGACCGAGACGAATACAAACCCAACTTGGCGTTCGTGGCTTTTACGTCGCCCATGTATTCCTGTAGAGACGTATTTGCGATTTTCATGTTCTGGACACAAATTCGGTTCTACAGGGTACATATAGACGACTACTGAGAGACCATTCTTCTATTGGATGTTTTAAAACAGAATTCAAAGTACAAAATAAGGCAGTTTAGGCTATGACCTCTTTACCATGCAGGGATAAATAATTTTCTTGTTAGATTGTTTGGCCATTATTAATATCTGGGTCAGAACTGGTAGGCTATATAGGAACAAAAGTAATAGGCTATGTGTTAGTCATTACTGAAAAAGATTAAATGCAGAAAATAAATCAATGCATTATTTTTAACTGTTTAAAAATGTATTACTTTAATTTTCCAATTGCTCGAAAGAGAATATGCAAGATTTGGGAATGCTTTATGGTATAGGCTATCTATCTAGGCCTATGTATTTATTTATTGTTTGTTTGTTTATTGTTTGTTTGTTATAAAAAATAATGTATTAGCCTAAATGACATACACAACAAACAAATCGTTAAATTTAACGAAAATGATTTACGATAGCCTACGACAGAATTAATTTCACAATAATTATTTTATTCGTTGATGTTAAATGTATTTTGACGTGTTCTGCCTCATATTTTTCATATCACCCCTAAACACTCCAATGAGTAAATGAAACATAGAACATAAAAGAAAGAGTTGAGTTGGCATGATAGGGACAAACAAGAAATAATTTTACTATCCATTCCTATTAAATCTCGAAAACATGAGCACCCACTTGAATATTCAGTCTCAAACATGTTGTGCACAAAGCGGACACGTGACAGCACTGATGAAAAATAAGTTTCTTTTGTTCCTTGGGGTTTATTGTGCACGTTATTACCATATGACCGCCCGGTAACCTGCAAGACCGTGCCCCGAATTTCTCTCTCCTGTTTAGCTATCTAAACGGGAACAGATATCCTACGAAATAAAAAAGGATAGGCTACAAACTAAGCAAAGAAAAGTACAAACACAGTTAAGCAAAGAAACAAACTTTTTAGAAATCATTTAGGCTATATATAGCCAAACAACATAGACTATTTCCAAATCCAATTTTCAAACCACCAGAGAAAAATAAGATGTTCTCCCCTAAATATAACAAAACCAAACAAACAGACAGGACATAACTCTTTAACAAACGAAATCCAACGAAACGACTGTTTGCCTTATCACAAGCCTTTTATTTTACTTCGAGACCCTGCAGATGTGATAGGGATTTTTTGTCCACCCCCACCAGCCTGAAAACGCCCCCATCCACCCACTCGGCACTGCTATAGTGTTGCGGACGCATTTTAATATTAGTTAGACAGCCTGACCCGCATTTCACCCCTCGCGTTCGACTCGTTCCAATAGTTCACTGCCAAGGAGTTATTGATGAGCGAAAAGCGATGAATTCCCTCTGCACATAAATGGCCTCAGATCCTGCACCAGCTCAATAACTAGTTATAATGTAGAGACTTCCAAAAAGCTATAACCGCCGGCGAATTTGCTTGATGATTCATTTGTATATAGGAGATTCCCCCCAGATGTAGATAGATAGATAGATAGATAGATAGATAGATAGATAGATAGATAGATAGATAGATAGATAGATAGATAGATAGATAGATAGATAGATAGATAGATAGATAGATAGATAGATAGATAGATAGATAGATAGATAGATAGATAGATAGATAGATAGATAGATAGATAGATAGATAGATAGATAGATAGATAGATAGATAGATAGATAGATAGATAGATAGATAGATAGATAGATAGATAGATAGATAGATAGATAGATAGATAGATAGATAGATAGTGTACAAAAAGGTGGGATTTTTGATGGAAGAATATCTTAGCTGTCCACAAGGATCTATTGTTTGTATGGTTGAACGAATGTCATTTTTATATGATATTTAATGTATCCTATGCCCTTTGCAGTAATTTGGAATTATTTAATTTTTGGGCTCATATTCCTTGCCTTAAATATCGAATGAAATTTAGTTCAAGTGGCCTAAAGCTGTTCCACAATATTAAAAGGAAAAAACCTTACTCATTTTTTCTTTTTCTTTTGCGATCTTAAATAGCCTATTTAACGTCAGATTTATTTATTTGTTTTATACACATATATACACACTCTATTTGTAACCATTACAATATTGATATAACATTTTTTTTTTAAATGGGATCAATTCATGAGATTTTTTTTTCGTACAGCTGTTGCATTATTATTTATATTATTTATATTTAATTTTTTATAAGAGTTATTTTAAAACCCTTAAAATGCTTAAAACAGAAACCCTTCACAATTCTGTATTGTAATGTATTTTATTTATTTTTATATATAAAAATATTCAGTTAGATTACAGTGGACAACTTGTTTATGCTGTGTAAAAATAAAGAGTATTTATATTTTAGGAGATAGTTTTTTCTTATATATATGTCTAGCCTATAGGCTGCATTTTTAAAATATATAAAAAATATAAAAATAGGTTTTTGGCTCACAAGCACAACAAAAAAGCTTTAGTACAAAACACTTCCTTGCCTCGAACATGTGCTGTAGTTGTTCGCCACTATTGTCAGGGAACACTGCCCTCTGTGTTTATTCGCAGCGAAACAAGATGGGAAAGAATATTATATGCAACTGGAACAAGAAAATAACGGTAAGACTTACCAGTGCAACGACGATCTCCTCCTTGCTCACACGTTCATTAATCCCTCATGGGCTAAAAAGAAAGAAAGCAATTTAGAAAATAAAATTACTAATAAAAACTTATCTTGCCAGGCGTGTAAGTTTAACCTATTTAACAATATAAAGGGTTTGATATACATTTCAAACAATTGAATACCTATGATGTAAATAATGCCAATCTTTCAGTATCCTGAAAATTAATATCAATATCTGAATAAATATCTGGAGTTTATGTAATCAGTTAAAAGCTAAAAAAATCAAATCATGCATGAAGCTTACAATAATCTGACAGCTGCGTTTCAATTCTTATTATGTTTTAATGTGTTTAGTAATTTCTCTTTGTCTCTCATTGAGGTTGAACTGTCCAGAGGCATGATCCTTTAAAGTAGGACAAGGCTATGTATTTAGCACAGGTTATTTTCAGAACGATTTCCTTGATGACTGTAGTTATTTTTGCAACAATAGAGGAGCTAAAATGAGTTCCTACTTGGACAGGTTAACATGGCAATTCAGGATTGTTTAAAAAAAAAAATAACATATGTTTGCTTCTCAGGTTTACATCCTCGCAGAGTTTAATTTGACAGTATATGAACATACTGTGAATTCACATGCAGGGTTGGACCAATGTTTGTCAGTGAGATGAATGGCAAAAAAAAAAAAAAAAAAAAAAAAAAAACCTGAATAGTAACCTTAAGATTGAAGCAGGGGCGAAAATATAAAAGTAATTTAATTAAATAATGTATGGTGTGTATGTATACACAAAACGATAAACATTATATATACTCAGTTCTACAATTATCCATGCTACACACTGGGAAACATCTATAAATATAAATATAAACTGTGTTCAGTTAAAAACTGTGATTATAAAAGTATTTTCTGTTACACACTGTTGTTTCATAGCAATGCAGTCCTTGTTGCCATGACCATCCGTTTTCTTAATAAATCATAATGGGTTTATTGAGATAACCACCAGTCCAAATACCCTTCACTATTTTTTTCCTTTCTTTTTTTTCATCCGTTCCCCTCATCCATTACTGAATGAAGAAGAGCTTATCCACATTGAGAATAAACGTTCTGTCTTGGATTTTTAAAATGATTGTCCAAATAAGAACTTCAACAACTTGTTAATAGAGGTTATTCCAACATTGAAAGCATTGCCTTGTTTAGTTATTCTGCATGCAATGGCATCATTTCCAATTCTGTGTCATTTGCTGGCTCTTTAAAGGAAATTACTGCCATATTCCTTGTATGGCCAGTCAATTAGTAACCTAGTAAATGACAAAAGAATATGTTGAACCCCTGAACTCAGAGAGAAGAAAACAGAGGAATATAAAACTATTGCCCCCTATTGGCAGTTAATGTTTTTGACACTGTATTCAAAGTGTATTCAATTAATGATAAAATTAAAGGATGGACATATGGGCTCACTAAAATAGAGGAGTTAAAATGATTCTTAAGTATAAATGCCAACAACAAATTAATTTAAATTTATTAAGTGCTTTCCATCACTACAACAATTGTAATTAATCAAATCTCTTTAATAAGTTGACATTTCCTGAAAGTGTTTCAATAGCGAATGTGTTGTTGGTTGTACCACAGTACACACCACATGAGCAATTTATTCTCTCAATGACTAACCACTTCCCAATACCCCAGAAAAATGTTAAATTTTGTAAATTTAAAATTTTACTGATTATTTTTCCAGTCAATGTATACAATAAGGATTATTGTCAAACTCATTCAAACTTGAGTGAGTAAAACCTGCACCTGCTCTGAACCAAAAATGAGCCAACAGGAATCAACTTCTGCTTTGATGTGATAATAACTGTGGAGTACATTCACACAATTATGTCATTATCAGCTTTGTTGTTCTACCAATGATAATGCACATAAATAAACACAACATAATCCCAGAAAAGCAGCTGTGGAAAACAACTATTTAAAAACACATTCGTTATAGTTTCTAGATGGAGTGAATTTTCTGATTTCTGGGATAAAGAATGGATATTGAAAATGAAAGAGATGAGCAGCAATATCATTTCTTGTTTTATCGTATTTCTTTTATATTTGATTTATTGTATAAAAATTGATTGACTGAACTAAACTATTATTTCAAGTGCTGTGTAATGAGCACTCATACATGTTTGTATTAATCACAAAAGTAATTATTGATTACAGTCAGTGGATTAGCCAGTGTTTATGTTGGAATATCATAAAATACACTTAAGACATACTTAAAAGTTAGCAGTTTACCAACATAATACTAACTGGAGTTTTATCAATCAAGTACTTTTAAATGATATGTTTTCTGATCTGCTTAATCTGTCCTCCCCCTGTTCTTTATAAAAAATAAAAAAGCATTTAATTAACAGTAAGCCTGGAGAAAAGAACTTTAGCAAGCCATGGAATTTACAACTCAGTGATATTTGCAACCAGACACTGCCTTACAAGACAGAACCAGTCAGTGAAATGGGTCTTTACACTTGTTTCTACAGACTACAAATTGCAGTGACTGAGCAAACTGTAAAAAGCTGTTTTGTGAAATACTTGCAAAATCTGACATTATATCTTATATTGACATTTCAGAGTAATGGCGTGTCATGTCCTGCCTTTTTCTGCTGTAGTAATGGCATTTGAAGGATGTTGTTTTGTTGAACCATTTCAGTTCTGTTTACCCTGTTGTGTTAAAGACATAAAATGATGACACATTAATTGCAATCCACAGTTTGCTTTATTAAAACTCATTAAAAGTTTCTAATTAATCTTACAACTGGAAACAATGGCAAAAATGTATAAATACCCCCATGAAACAGTTATATTTGTATCTGCAACCCAACTCTTTTCCTTAAACTATAAATTCACAATTACTATTTGGGAGCTCAATAACCTTTAATCTTGGTTTTTCTTCATAATTATTCTTGGACACATGTCCTTTGCACAGCAAAAGGGCCTGAGTTAGTTCATAATGCCAGAACCGGGGCATTATAATAACTCTCAGAATATACCACAGGCCTTCACTAAATAGAAACAAAGCAGTGATGATGGCGGTGGAGTTCCTGTTCAGCTAAGATCGCTGTGCACAGATTAAAGAGAACATTGTGGATGAACAGGGTCTGACTTATTCTGTTTCCAAGCACAACATCATAAAGTAAGATATGGCTTAAACTTTTCATACCAAAATTATAATGGTCAAGTGGAGCCTCATCTGTCAAATAAAGACCACTGAATATCCGGTGTTGAAAACTGACAAATAACAGTGGTCAATGTTTTTATTTATTTTTTTTTTTTTAAATAAAATGTATACTTTTTTCATGTGACTTTGAACCATTTGGAGTCATTTCAGTTATGTTTTTTGTTAAGTTAATCATGTGACTCTTCATCCACACTGCCCTGTACATGACCCCACCACACAACACCAAATCTTCTCTGCCCTGCACATGACCCCACATTATGTCCGATCTAAAGATATATGTTCGGCGCTCTTATCTGCAAACCAATACGAGATCACTTAGCTTCTCGGTCCTTCACCGTCACTTTTACCACAACATACACTTCCTAGGGACAAATGAAGCATTTTTCACTAGCATTTTGATTGGATATACTACAACTCAAATATTAATTACACATGCACACACATGCACAATGCTTTTAAGTTGCATACAAGATGTTTTTAAAATACATATGAGTCATGATATACAGAATTAGATTTCAAGCTGCTGCCAGAACAATAATTCCATATCAACGCCAAATTAACAGTACAAATGCACAAACGTTAAAATTGATCAAAACTGAACAGACGAGGACACATTTGCGCACCACTTGACACGATTTCTCCATGAACTATTGAATTACATCCTTGATTAATTCCCGTGGGTGTTGCGGAGGAACGTACATATTTAATTAAAAAGAGGAAAACAAGATTATTAACTTACTGCAACCGCCTGGGATCCATTTGGGAGAGTCGAACTTCTACAGACCCTGACGCGAGTAACCCGCACTAACAGGCTCTAAGCCTTTCTCTCAGAGATAAGACTAGCCAACAGCTGCGATTACGGACAGTTAACATTATATATGATGTAAATATATTGAGGGTTTGTCAGGTCTTGCAGGCCATAAAACCCACTTTAATGACCCCACGTGCTCTTCCTGCACCACTCACTGGTCTTGCTTTGGGCAATTGGCATAAATAACCTTCAAAACTTCAAAATACGTGGCAAGAGAGCTAAAAAAAGAGGGGTTTGTGTAAAAAGCAACATAGTAACCACAGTAACTCGCAATGTGGTCAAGATAGCGAGTGTAGAAATTCAAAGAAGCATGGAAATTTACATTGAATCTCCAATATAGGTGAGTGAGACGATTCTAAAATGAAAGCAATTTTAGTACTATATATTGACTAGCTGACTGTTTTTATATTTTAGTGTGTGTATATAATGTTAGCATTCAGAAACATGGAGATTAAAATGTTCGGTAGGATTTCAAATACATCGACAGCGCCGAGAAGGCGTGAATTAAGAAAAACTAGAACAAGCCAGTCGAATATTAGCATTTTGTTCACACAGTCAACGCTCCTATGTCCTTTGTTTGACATGGGCCTGGACTGTGATTTCTGCACATAAGGTGGCTAACATCATGTCTCATTTTCTAAATGACAAATTTCAACAATAAGGTGTGAGCAATTAACTTTAAACGTCTTTAATTAAATGCTTTACGCTTTCGCTTCATATTTCAAAAACATAAAAAACGTATATTATAATTTAGTAGTGCGCAGTATTTTATTAAATGTGCAAACTATCTTATTGATTTAAGGGGTTTGTACAGCAAAACGTCACTTTGAAATGTTTGTGTAAACTTCCGCCGATTTGTTAAAAAAGGAAACAGTTGTCAGTGCCTGATGGGTGAGAGGAAGTGCTGTAAAAGTTTATTGGGGTCATAAAGTTTTATGTGCCTCCGTTACAGGGCTACTGTAAATAAGTGACCAGGGCGTTAAAGTTCAATCATGTCTCATCACTGGAAGTATACACATGCACACTTGGTCCTCTATTAATACACGACTATTGTACCAAAATCATATTATTTCGCACAGAACGTTTCCTTCTCTTAACCCTGCACGAGGTATCAAATGGGCCTTGAATCCAAAAAATGCATTTTGTTTAAAGAGAGACTCATTATTTTTCTTGTGTCAGACCAATAGGACATTCTTTACATTTCATCGATTTTATTTACAAAGATAGGCCTACCACATTAGAGGTTTTATTGGACACAGGAGGCTGTTAACCCAGAGCTGACAAAACTTTCTGAAATGTTTAGCAATTGAATCTTGTTACTGTGATGATTAATTGTTGACTGGATGTGGCTTAACAATGAAACTTCGAAAACAAATGGTAAGAATATCAGAAGTAATGGATAATATATGCGGTTCACACAAAAGTAGGTCGTGTAGTTTGTTTGGTATGAGAGGTATAAGCCACTCCTACAGTATACTTGCCTATATACTTAAGAGTAGAGTGTGAGAAAAATTAAGGTGTCTGCCTGTAAAATGTGCCCAAAAACACATTCAATTAAAGAGCAAAATGTTATGAACGCACAGTATTTCAACAGACATAATAATGGAGATAAAATTACCATTTGGCTGCTGGTTGACAGACAACATGATAGACAGCGTTTAATATGACACTACAGTTGTTGCATTATTATCATGGAGTGTGGTTTACTATGATGTATTTACGACAGAAAGTACAATGGATAAAAAGACAAGTTCCATCAAAATTCAATATGCAAAGGGAAGATTGATAAATGTTCAAACAAAGCACCACATTATTTGCACTTACATTGAAGTCAACGTAACTGGATGCAGACCATGGTATATTATCTTGGTTATTAGTGGTTTTAGTAAGTCATATTCAAATAAAGTTTAAGTTTACAGGCCTACATTATTCAAATAAGCATCTTCCGGGAGAGAGCACTATCAATAAATATCGAAAATATTGACATATTCACACAACAACATGATATTGTAGACAAATGAAAGACATTTAATGTTGTCAACAACAAAATCTAATCATTTGTCGTTTCAAGTTAACACCGCCTTTATTTTCAGGCTTTTCAATTGAAGCCGTGCACCACATAATTTATAGTCCTCCTTTCACTTTCAACTTTGAGTCCTTCTTCCACTTCATGCGACGGTTCTGGAACCAAATTTTAATTTGCCGCTCGTTCAAGCAGAGGTTATTGGCAATCTCGATACGTCTGCGACGTGTGAGGTATCGGTTGAAATGGAACTCTTTCTCCAACTCCAGAGTCTGGTACCGGGTGTAACTGGTTCGTGACCTTTTACCGTCAGATTCTGAAGTGGCATCAGAAAGATATTGGGTTACCTATATGTAAAATTTTTATCGACTGTCGTCCTCATGCATATTACTAGGAAAAATATGTTCATAATCACTGATGAAGTTGCCACCAAACACAATCCATTTGAAATATGGATACATCAAGCATTATGAAATCCAAAATGAAAACAGTGGACAGGTGGTATGTCGCTAATATTTATTTATTCTGAAATTAGAAAGTGTCATGCACAGAAATAACACAAACGTGATAAAAAAAAAACAATCATAAATGTATGAAGGCCACGAGCTTCCTAACATGTCCTGACCCACAATATTGTAAGAGCTCAAATAAAAAAATAATGAATTATTTAAATAAACAAATAAATACAAAGAGACAATGCCTCACCGCTTAGAGGAAACAAATTGTTATTATACTTTTGTAATTTGCTCTACTAGCTACTCCAACGGTGCAGAGAGCAACTAACCGGAAACAAGTATAGCCTTCTGCCAGATAATGTAGCCTGTGTGTATGCAAAGATTCGCTCGAAATTGCACTTTACATGATTAACATGTAAACTCATGCTTAAAACAAGAAATAATAAGTACATTTAAATGTAATAATTTTTTTGCTTTTCTTAACCAATTATTTCTCCATAAATTTGAGCGGAGATCACCTCTTCACAGAAACAGGACAGGTTTACGAGCAATAGATGCCTTTGTCATAAAATTTACGGCCGCTAGTTTTATTATTTCCTGCGTTTGGCCTATAAAACTCAAGAGTAAAAATATGGAGCGACAAAACGTAGGAAGGAGATGCAATGACGAGGATGAGATGCGTGCAGTTTCCCCTCTCTCTTCCAAAACAAACTTTAAACGTAACTTTACCGTGGCTCATGTGAAGCTTTGTCATCCACGGATATATCTGCGGCTGCGACTGGTTCTGACGCTGAGTCGAGTTAGTTTGTTGCTTTATCGATGAAGTAGTCTCCATTTTGATATCGTCTGTGCGGCTCTTGCCGCTGGGCTTCTCCATAACTTCCATATTCCCCTCGGCTTTTTGGCTCAACAGTCCGTGACTGAGGGGGTTGTACCCGTGAGTGCTTACAAAGCTATGAGCGCCCAGAGCTGAACAGGACTGTGTTCGCTGAACTGCTGCACTGGTCCTTGCTCGGTCGCTTGTGTTTATCGCCTCCCGTTTCAAAGAGTTGGAGGGGATTTGAGAACTGAAGGATCCGCCGATATCAAGTCCTTCGTACGCGTAATTGGACTCGTGAAACTCAGAGTGAACACGATAGTTGCCAAAAGTGTGCATTCTACAAGAGGAGGCGTCTTGCGTTTGCTTAGAAAAAGACTTTCCAACGTATGAGCTCATTCTATTTCCAAAACAATATAGTAGCCTAACCTTAGAGAGAGAGTCACAAAAAGCCCCCGATCACAGCAGAGATTGAATCAGCTAATAAAGTAGACATAAGTTGTTTAGAAGTTTTATTTGTTTATTGGACTTTATTTGTATTTCTAGAGGACGTTGGGCTTGTCCTAAAAAAGAGCAGGATTTATAGGAGGAGGAAATCATTTTCTTTTTTTTTCTTGATACGACGTGTAATGCCCAAATATGGAATGTTTAAATAGAATCACGTGCAGCTCCTGGGCCAGTCATAAATTGGCTTGATCCCCAGGAGGTTATTGATAGACAGTGAAACGTGTCCGATAACTTCTCGGTATGGAAATTATCTAAGGGTCTGGGCTAAAAAGGGCGAGACCGTTAGACAAGAGCGTCATCTGGCGTCTAATACTGGACAAAGCGGCCACACACACATGCATAGACACAGACACACACACACACACACACACACACACACACACACACACACACACACACACACACACGATACTATGCAATACGATGTTATGGCAAATCAAATGTCGGCGATATATGGAGTAGCAACACGATTAGGCATATCCATATTCTATATATGACAATTAGGCCTATGTGTTTCTCCTGTTTCGCGGTAGTGATTTCTGATTTTTTCATGTGTAGGCTATGTTGCTTTTTTCTTGGGTGTTTGCGAAATTAATCCCCATTGTGATCATAAATGTCTCTTAAATGCGTCAACTTTTGTGCATTTGTTGCAGTGACTTCCTAAAACTAAATGTAGGCTAATTTTAATTTTATTTAATCGCAGAACTACTGGTTAAGCGTTGTGCCACTGTGCAATGCAAATGTGGTTTTGTCAAATTAAGCAATGTCGATGAATAGTCAAGGCTTTTTAATTGAATGAAAAGTCTCTAAATCGTTACATAGCCTACTTTAATCATTAGGTATTAACAATAATAGGTTGTATTATTCCATTCAGATAATTGGGCAGATTAATTTTGAGTTAAATTAAGTGCACTTTAACTATACACCAAACAAATACACAATGTAACCGTGATTTTAATTTGTCATTTGGATTCAAATTGCTCACAAAGATAAATAAAAAACTTTTTGCAATGTTTTTATGTTAAAAAGTGTTTCATGTCTTAAGTTTACTGAACCCTTTAAGTGTGGTGAAGAGCGCAAGGCTGGAGTCAAAATAAAGACAATAAAGGTTTTTGTTTTCAAGAATTTTATTAAATAATACACAGTTTACACAAACAATATAATTGCGTACCAAGGTATATGTTTGTTTTCATATTGGTGTGATTCTCACTTTAAGACAAGTTTATATGCACACAACTACAAGTATGATGAAATGTATTTTTTGAAGTTCTCTCAATAGCTAATGTGCCAGTATACAGCGGCATTTTGAACAACAGAACACTGACGGGGCAAAAGCAATATTAAAAAAAGAAAAAAAAGGATAATAAAATGTAATAAGGATTTAGGTAGTATAGTTCATCCCGTCAGGGTTTGTTTCATTGTACAAATATGCATCCACAAAGAAAAAAAAACTGAATGTGCATATAAGAAGTTTCCTTCATCTCTGGAATGCTTAGGTACAGTTTAGAGGCTTAATAGTTTGGGAGCCTACTTATCAAATTCGATTACATTTTCATCTAATGTCATTTTCTACTAGCCTATAGCAACATGATAGCTAATACTAGAACCACACAAACATTTCAGCTGTGGCATTGTCATCACGCAGCCAAGAAAGAACTATTTCCAGTACAAAGAGAAGTGAATTGCTTTATGGTGGATAACATGTGCGTCTTCCTCTCTGTTAATCTCTCCATTTGTTTCAACGTGTGTAAATGTTAGTGGCGTGGTGGTAGTGGAGCTTGAGTGTGGTTTTCAGGTCGGAGGAGGAGGAGGAGGGGGCAGTCAAAAGGAATAGCAGAGTATACAGTCCATGCATTAATATTTGCAAATTCTCCGTTTAGGTAGTTACGTTGCAGTTAACAGGCGTTCGAGAACGAGAAATTGACTTCCTAATCTTTAATCTTTTTAACTTCCTCGGTTTCCTCCTCGGTCTCCTTCTCGGTGTCTTGAGGAGTACCCGTTGATTCGGTCCCCGGTACAGTAGAAGTTAGATTGGTCTCTTTCTTCCATTTCATGCGCCTATTCTGGAACCAGATCTTGATTTGACGCTCGGTTAAACACAGAGCGTTGGCGATCTCGATGCGTCTGCGTCTGGTTAAATACCGATTGAAGTGAAATTCTTTTTCCAGTTCCAAGGTTTGGTATCTGGAGTAAATCTGGCGACCTCTTCTTCTGTCTGACCCGTACCCAACTCCTGTTGTGGGGAAAAGTGCAAATACATTTTAAAAAGAGAGTTTACACAGATCAATTCTTAATTGACTGCAAAATAAAACACACCTTTGGGATCCTGGTGGAATAATTCACTTAAAGCATTTTTTATTGTTTAATTTATAAGGTAACTAATATAACAATTTGACGCAATAATGAAGTCTATAGCATTTAACCCATTATTACAGTCACAAAGCATCGCGAAACTTGTTTCGAATTTCAGTGTTTCTAAAATATTTTCTAACCAACTTTGCTACCGTGTGTTTTCAAACAGTCTCGGACAAGTTAAGTCACATTTTTAACATAGTAGTGCATGCTCTTAAAATGGTTCAAAATGCACTTTTCGTTGGATAATTTTCTAACGCGCTCACACTTATTGTACATGTTTTTGAAATAATTTTGGCACTTGAGAATTAAAGGAGGTAGCCAAATGGGATTCCCCTCGCTGGAAAAGGGGGCTTTTATAGTCTGATGATTTAGTAGTGGTTTATGAGGCCATAAAATGTAGCTACTCTGTTGATAGGACGTATCGTAAAACAGACCAATTCCACCAGGGTATGTCCCAAGTCGCAGTAAAACTCACCGCTGTGCGAGTTCATCCGCTGCATCCACGGGTAGATCTGAACGTTGTTTCCTTTCTGATCCTGTGTTCCTGCACGAGCTTGTTCCAGGCTGTACTCCTGGGCAACGTGGCTCTGCGCACTAAGTCCCATACTAGTTTGCCTGCAACTGGGAAGCACGTCCTTATCTTGAAGAAACACGTTAGATCCATACTCGTACGGTCCTCGACTTGATCCAAACACAACGTTATCTTGAGGTGAATAGAAAGGGGACGCATAAATCCGGTTTTGGGTCACTGTGGTGCCATAAGACGAAAAATGTCTGACTGAATCATATGCGGTCGTGTTCAGTGGCATGTTGGGCAAAACCTCTTGCCCACCAGATAAATGGCACGAGAGCGACGGGTTCGCGAAATACGAATTCATACCTTTCCTATCGCCCTCTCATCAACTCACCCTCCTATCTTATTTCCCCTCTCTTAATCTCTCACTTTCTTTCTTTGTGCTATGGGGTCTGCTTCCTTCTGTCACATACACACGTCTCCCGCCCGCTTTCCTAACTCTCTTTCAAATGAACTTCAGAAGGATTTCAATAATATTAATTTCCAGTCTCCGGTTAAGACGCGCAAAGCAAGTGTTATAGCCAAGGCTTGGCTCATGGAAGGACAATATGACAGCGTCACCTGACCACTTTCAGCCAATTGAATGCGCTGTGTACGGAGGAATATCGAGCTTGTAGCTTCTTATCCTTGTGGCTTCAGTTGATAAAGTTTAAGTAAACACACACACAAATGCAGAATACGCACTCACACGACCAAAGAATTACATATTCTTTGAGCATTAATTCGCGAGTTATAATCTGTATAATCTTTATAATCTTCTCCAAGTGTATTATGAAGATAAATCTAGACTTAGGCTATGGGGAATCATGCATTTTACATTGAGCTAATTTCCATCTCAGTTAATTGCCTGAAATATGGGTTTTCACAGTTGCTTAGCCTTCTGTCGCTGACGTAGAACAAAATATCCTATATGTTTTACCATGCCAATAGGCTACTACCGTATTCGTGTCTTTCTGGCGCAACAACTTTATTACTGTGTAGATGATATAACTACAATTGTAACCATTCCAATTACATGAATAGAACTCTTTGTTTTAAAAAAGAAAAATGACTAAGGGCCAATTAAATGACTAATTGCCATAGGCGGCGTTTCTACACCGATTTTGTTTACCCTCCCTTTTAGGATGCTTTTAACATGTATTTCAACGTGCATTAACATATATAAAATGTAATATATGTTAAAAAATAAAAGTAACTGTGAATGTGTCCGCTGATACACATTTTATATCATATAAATAGACATTATCTGCATTGTCGTCAGTCACCAAGTGAAATGACCACACTATTCTTTTGTTATTAAGACATCTCCCTCTAACGTTTGTTTTCTCTATCTCTATTTCCTCGGGCTTTCTTTGCGCTGAAGGGAAAACGTCTGTTCTTTTCCTTTCCCCATTTGTAATGTATTGATAATTTCTATGGTAAAAAGAACCTGAGTAAGGAGGGGGGAAGGGGCATCTTACTAAAGAATGCGTCAAACGCGCCTTGGTGCCATAAAAGTCACAATCCCAACTGAGGACTTCCAGCTCTGAAGCAATTACCCCTTTGAATGTAGCCTATGGGGGCTGTGCAGCGGGTCTCTTATCTTGTACACAGAAATCTGCAAAAACATTTTTAGCATTTAACTTTATAGTTTATGATTATGAAAAAAATAATAATGCCACGAGACATTTCAAACTCAACTTTGATGACTGTATTGATTGTATTTATAAGGATATAAACTATATATTTTTTCAGAATTTCTTAAAATGATCATATTTGCCAAAGGTCTGTTAAATAATTCAAATATACAGCTTTCCTTTATTAAATGCTTGCAGCCATATTAATGGAATAAATTATGTATTATCATGTTCAAAGAAACAGTAGTGGGAACAGGACTAGTTTTAACCGAATGGTTAGGGTATGCTCCATGACCTTAATGCAGGCCACATGACGGGACGTGTGAGGCCAAAAACAGTGGTTTAAAAAGAGGTGCGCAAAACACGAGATTGACAGAACAGTAAAATTTACTTCCAGCCCGACAGTGAGAAAAGGCATTTAACAGCTATAAAACAGGCTAATCTGCTTAACGATTGATTAAATACATACAATTTTTCTTTGTATTCTAAAGTACCTATAAAATCGGGATAAATCAATATCAAGGATTAATGTTTTTGATGGGTTGTCCTTTTTTGGACAATATTTGAGATCGGCAATAATTCTATATATCTGCTAGGAATGTCTATTAGGAATTTCTAAACATCAATATGGTAAGTGCTATTTAATCACTTTACGGCTACTATATGATTAATTATATTCCGAAGCTAATTCATCGACGTTTATACCAATAATAATAATAATAATAATAATAATACTAGTAGTAGGCTAGTGCAGTAGTAGTTTTAACCGGTCTGCAATAAAAGTAATAAAAACATGAATTGCATGCTAAGTTAATACAATACATATATGGCAGTATGTAACTTCACGTATTATTATGATTTAATTTATACAATATTACACCGTGTATACTGTGGGGGGAAAACTAATAAAAGTAATTTATAATAAAAGTAATTTATAACAGTAATAAAAATATTTCTTGCGTGTGCACACGTTTTAACGTTTCATTTTTAGATTGTGGCAATTTAACAGTTGCCAATTCAAATTTATGAAATAAAAAAAAAATCAATAAAAAAAAATCACAGCAATAATTATACTTTCAATTACAATTTTAAAAATATTTAAATTACCTTTGTCTCAACCTAGTAGGCTATGCCACACTGGATATCGGATATCATATTTAGAAACAGGAAAGCGCAATGCTGAAAACAAATCAGTGGTGCATTATGAATTCTTAAATCATTTACTTGTTTTCACTAGGCTATCTTCCGACGTGTAGTTTGGCTGAATTGAGATCACATACTAAGTGTAGGCTGTATCTAGGCTATATATCTGACTCTTTGATGTTCAATATTGCTCCAACGACTTTGAACTGAAAGCCT